AGCGCAATAATGCAATCTAAAGAAATGGGATTATGGAATCATTACAGCTCGGTTCTCCTCCCAAAATGCAGCGAGCCCATCAGGGCACAGAGTGAATCTTGTTTAATGTGAAGGACTCAAGAGGGATTCGCACGTAGCTAGCTGTTTTCAGTTACTTTGCAGGGGAAAAATATATTTTGGGGCCTTATTGGAACTAGGCTGTTGACGTGGCTGCGTTCCGCATTTTTCCGGCATTTTATCCTGTAGTTTCATTTGCAGTTCGATGATTTCATATTCCCTCTGTACAGACTAGTGTCATGCTTCTTTGTAGGTGCACTTATTCCAATGCACCCCGCAAAGTTATTCCAAACGATTCCCTGCATGTGCAGTAATAATGCGTTGCTGTCGGTTAATACAGATGATCCGAGGCTGAGAAGCTGATAGTTAGATAGCTGCACCTAGTGATTAGCAGCATACTAGGAAAGAAAAAAAACACGATGAAATGGAGTCCAAATGTTTAATCAAATTGCATATATTGGACATGCTGTATAGACACGTGTATAAACCTATGCCTAATTTTGTATGAAATATATTGGATGCCTTGTTCTCGTGTCTGAGCAAAGGCACGACTCTTCACTTCAGCCTGTCATGGCGTTTGAAAACTTCTGGTCACAGAAGGGAAGCTTACTGATAATAACTTTACCTTACGAAAACAAACGGGTGTTAATGACAGAAGCAATAACTGATGCATGGCAAAGGATGCCGTAATTTATGTAGGCCGGAGAGGCTGCTTTTTTATTAAAAAAAAACAAACAAAACTCAAACCCTAGAGTGCAACTTGTGCTGTCCCTACAGTGACTTCTTAACATCCAGGTCAGTGTGCTAGCAGGCAAGAGAAGCGTCTTTCTCTCCATGTGCCTCGTATAATGATTAAACTGTGTCGTGGTCCCAGTTCTTCTTGATTACAACAGCCTGTTGCTCCGGACGCGGGAAAGACCAAGGCTGTGTCTGTTCCCAGAGAACTGGATCTGTTTTCCCCTCCGTGTTTCCCGGCGCCTTGTCCTTGGAGCTGCCCTGCAAATGCGGGCTCGGCTCCCAGGCTCTGCACGAAGCAGCCCAAGGAGCCCTTGAATAAAATCATTTCTTTCCAGTAGGAAAAAAAAAAAAAGAAACCGATTGAAATAAAAAAAAAAATCGTATGTGTTGTCTCTGGACTGAGCGGCGCTCTCGCAGGCGGCACCTCCTGGGGAGAGGACAGCCATCGGCTCTGAAGTCCTGGAAACTTTGCCGCGGCTGGAGCTTGGGCTGAGACTGGGGCCAGGGGTTCACCTCCACCCCCTTCGCCCCCTCACCCCCGGGGACCAAGTACTGGGGCTCGGCCGCGGGGGAGTGGGGCAGGGCGGCGGGGATCGCCCTCCGGGTGGGTCCCTGGCACGGGGACCTGCTGCCACCCGGCCGTGGCGGGGCCCGGGCCCGCTCCCTGCAGCGGGCTCCCGGCGCGCAGGGTCTCGCCCGGCCTTCCTGTTGAACTTGAACGCAGCCTCGGCCGGCCCCCCGCAGG